AATTGAACCAACTGCTGAAAATGCCCAAGATGATCCGCATTGACCTTGGTTTTTAACGGGAACGACAGCATGTTTATCACGCCAATCTGTTTGAGAAGAAGAGAAGACATTGATAAATCGTCAATGTGATTATTCATACCAACAGTGTCCGGTATCTCAAGATTAGAATGTTCTGTGAACGCTCGCTTCGTCTTTTGAACACGTTTACTAGGAAAGTTCTTCAATAATTTGACGAATTCTTCATTAGTCTAAATAATTCCACCTCGGATAGCCATGAATGCCCAAGAAAATCTTACTAAATCTGCAAATTGATTCATTCCAAGTCGATAAGTATGAAGACCAAGGTCAGCTCGGCGGTTGTGTTCTTCTACTAATTCCAAGTTTTTCTCCCAAATCATACGGCTAAAAGACGCAAAAATATATCGATATAAAACTAAGACAATAAACTTTCATACCGAAGGCGTTCTTCGACATTTGTGTAACTTTTCTGGAATTGATTTTTCCATGCTTTCCATTGTCCATTGACCGTCATGGAACGAATGCAAGTGCTGCTCAAAGCAAGCGTAACGAGCACGAGAATTAATGTTGATTGCATGTGAATATTTCACTCGCTGAGTATGACAATGTCAGATTTTTCCTTGGAGTACTCACCTTTTGTTAAAACACAAGTGACTTTCATTTCAAAACATTTATCCCGCTTCTTATCATTAGTAAGCTTTTTTTCTTATCTGAACGCATTGTCATTCGCTGATACGATGTGCTTTTGCTACGTCATTTAGAAAATATAAATATATTTGCATGCGCCAGCACAAATTATTGACATGATTCTCATTCTATAGTCAACAATTGCTTTCAATTCCTCTTTCCATGGCTTATTCGGTATAACCTTGATTTCAAAGTGTGTTGCTTGAACTGAATGAATAGCTCGCACTCAAACTCTCTAGATTTCGAGTATTATTGTATCAACAATATTTTTCATCTCTGAATAGAAGACGAGAGAAGTGAAAAGAACTACACAAGAATCACAACTGCTTGCCAGGGATTGATAAAATCCTGTTACCGAATGTACTTTCGTCTCGTGGAGGAACATTGAATGATATTCTCGTTACCATACTAATCTATCCTGTAGACAAAATAAAGGTTTCATTTTCTATTAGTATTCACAAACAAAATAGGTCAGATCGCTCCCAAAAAAGCAATTTTCTTGTACTAGTTTACTATTTTAATTATCAAACGATTACGAACATCTAGTTTTGAATTTAAATCATTGAAAACGGGCGCTTTTTTTCATTTCAAATTTGATTTAGAATGGTATTGAAAATAACAATCAGTTGCTTCGTTTTTATCCAAACTGCACTATGGTCATTTTAGCTTCACAGGCTTTTTTATCATGAGGGTGAGGGTGTGGGTGGGGTGAAAAATTTTTATGATTGAAACCGATAGAGCTCGTCGAGTTTGATATTGAACCAGTGTTGAAATCGTAACCGGTGGTGGTAAAAAAAATCTGCCCCGGTTTTTCTCCAGTTTTGGGCTTTCTTGGGTGTCTTTTTTAGGTGCTTTGAAGGTGAAGAAAGAACGTTTTTGGAAATTTCATTTTTGGAAGCGATAGAGCTCATCAAGCTGTACTTGGAACCAATGTTGGTTTAATTGGAACCTACACTGAAACGAATCCGCTCAAGAAAATGTCCAATCCTGCCCGTGCAGGTATCCTACGTCCTATCTATCTCTTTTATCGGTGTGTCACTCTTCGTAAGCATTTTCATCTTTCGAAACAGGTTTTATTCAGCTGGCCTTTGTGGTTTTTACTTTAGTATCCAGAAGATACCATGGGTTGTATGAAGAAAATATGGGATTGTGTGAAAGAGGTGACGGCAACAGAATATTCGTCGGAAAGTGGTGATGATGATGATCAAACAACATTGAATAGTGAAGCAGGTGTGCCATGATTTCAAGTAGTGCATAATTTTAATGATTGTCCATAATTCAATATCTAAGTCGAATGGAATACATCGTCCTGGAAACTGTGAATCCAGCACGAACACCAATCTACCCGTCTCTAGTGAAGAAAACCACTCAGAAAGAACACCGCTTCTTTCCGCAGATATCTCAGCGGCATCTTCGGTTATAGATAGGAATAAAATACTTCTGAAAAGTTGACGCTTTCTTGACGATCAGAAAGATTAAAAGAAGATGTTGCAACCAATTCAAGGGTATCAAAAATTGTCATTAGTATCTCTGGAAGGAGCTGTTAAATTTATCGCTTCTTTAGCCAAACGAAACTGCACAACACCATTTAATGGCCTCACTTGCGATGAGTCAGTTGCGATTCAATTATATACTATGGAATGTGAACCACGTTCCGAATGTCTTTACTTTGTATTAAATTCGCATTTGCGTAAAGAGAATCGAAGTCAACTGGAGCCGTAGTTTTTCTACTTGAAATTTCTTGTGATGAGTTTCGATAAAATTCCTGCTCAAGCATTAATGATATGGCGTGGAGTTCCCTTAATCTACGAGAGGAGTACAAAGTCAATAAAACCTACACTTATGGTGGATGTTTACTTCGTGTACGGATACAATGCTTGTGTTAGAAATGGATTGGTTCCGTGGAAAAAAAGAATATGAACAATCTTTCTTGCTACACGTCAAAATTACAAGGAAATTAGTCAACGCGCGTTTGATCATGATGAAAATGAAATTCTTCTTCTACCTGGCATACAATTTCTCGTAAGAGCTTGTTTCTAACGTTCAGAAGTCGATCTTGATCTAACTATGATTCATCTGCAAAAAGTCGAACCAGAATTCGCATTACTTGAACGACTCATTTGACCACATTTAATAAATGAATAACTTTTATTGTTTCTGTTCTCTGTATTAACACGGTCTACGATTTCAAATGGATTAAGAGATTTTATATATAACCTATCTGATGTATTTAACCGAAACTCTTCGCAGCATCATGATCAGCCTACATAAAATTGTTATCAAAAAGTAAAAAGGTGCATAATAGGTATCTATCTTTATTCTCATTCTATATGGAAACATGTGGCGCCGATTTTAACTGAGGAAATCCCACTTATCGTTTCTCGTGTACGAGTGATGATAAGAGAATAGTATATGCATTACTTGCAGCCTTCGTAGTCTTGTCAAAATTGCTTTTTGCGTAGGATTGTCATTTCAGAATAATGTGAATGCATCATACTAACATAATCATGACATCCACTATTTAGTCTAGGTTCTCTGAAAGTCCGATTTGACAGAAACGTGTTATTATTATAGAGTTCAGCGAACTTTACTTCACTCGTGAGATCAAGCCTTACCTTGAAATCGTCTGTATGCAAATGCCTTTTCTCAAAGATTACTTTCTCAATTTAAATCTCTTCGAACCGCGTCCTGAAAGTAACGAAGTACAGGATAATCAAACGCGTCGTTGGAATCTTCTCACAACTCGAGTGTATCTTATAGTTCTTCTATCGACTCTCATTGTAATCGCCTTGTTTTTATCGCTGACGAGTCAAACGACAATAGTCAAAGTGGAATTTCCAACCAAGCAGCAATTCGAGAAACTTCCTTCAAATGCCCGGTGTCCTTGTTCTCAAATCTCTTTCCCACATAGCAAATTCGTTTCACTCCAAACAACTTTCCATCAAGTTTGCTCCAGTGACGTAATTTCTGTTCGATGGTTCCAAGCGATAAATCTTCGAGCAAACGCTACTTATTTTCCTCGAGGCGATTTTCAAACATTCGGTAGCGCTCAATTTCAAGCACTTGCTGGTTTCTGTCGTTTAGCCAAAGCTAATATCGAGCAAGCCATCAACTCCTTCTATCTCCGTACATTCCTAACCCCTCAAGTGCTATCTGACACCGATCTTCAATCAAAAATTCAAGCATTGATCGCTGAACTTCAATCAACAGCACCAAATACTTTCAATGGTTTACTACGATTAGTTAATGACATGATCCGAACGAATGAACTAATGAATGGATTACTAACCGTTGCGACCTATAGATACTATTTCTTATCCCAGAATAACGTTAATCTTGCTAGAATAGGCATTGGATACATACAAGCTGATGGATATTGGTGTACATGTCAAATTAAACTTTGTCTGTGGAGTCCTTCAGGCATACACCAAGTATTCAATCGATCTGTAGAACCATTTCCGGCAATTCTTCTTTGGCAAATACCGGGAATCTCATCAGGCTGTCTCCCTGTGCATTCAATTCTTCTTTCCGATCTAGAATGTTTCTATAATCAAACGTGTGTGAATAAACTTGTTTCATATTTCCCGATAACGAATGAAACATTCGTAGCAATGAATGCCACCAAACGAAGTCGCTTCCATCCAAATTCTACCGTAAAATCTGTAGTCGATGAACTGATGATCGAAGATTGGATAACAAATATTTCCTATGAAAACTATTATTCTCAATGTGCCCCAAAATTATGCACATTCTATGAAACCTCTCGGCACAAGAAGATGTACGTCATCACAAAACTTATTAGTCTAATGGCTAGTTTAGCGATTGGGTTCAAATTAATTATTCCCATTGTTATGCGAGCTGTCCGAATGTTAACAGATCGAACACCACGACCACAAACATCTGGTAAGGATAGTTGGATTCGATTAACAAAGGTTGTTGCTTAAGTGAACTATATTTTAGTTTGTGCTCGTTGTCAACGACTTCTTCGAAATAGTCGAAAGGTACTCATCGAATTGAATATCTTCAGACATTATCCAAGCACTAACCGACAAATACGCTATGAACGTTATGCTACTCGAGCCTACATCTTGTTGATTCTCATCACAATCTCGATTTTAACGATTTATAACCTCTCACAAAGATCGATTCGTTCGAAAACAATTGTTTATCCAAACGAATCAGAGTATCTTCAACTACAACAAGATCACCCGCATAGCCTTTCGTGCCCGTGCTCTTCAATTTCGACGCCGTACGGAACTTTTATTCAACTTCGACCTTATTACCATCAGCTATGTGCAAGCGATTTACTTTCGGAAAAATGGATGAGTTACACATACTATTTGAAATCTGACGCGTCGTTTTTTCTTGATTATCGTGGCACTGCCAACACTCATTTTCAAACCTTATCAACGTTTTGTCAAGAAGCTCAGCAAACAATCAAGGATGCACTTCGAATATTCTTTCAAACAGAACTTGTAAGTTTTCAAGTTCTTTCTCCTCGTTCATTTCAGTTTCAAAGCAATTCACTGATTGAAAATTGGAAATCAACTACAATCAATACATTCGTGCGTACGGTTCAATTAGTTCGTGAAATAACCCACGGGAATCAATTATCCAATGGTGGATTCAACTCAATCGCTGATGTTAATCCCAATACTGGAAAGACGACATTACAATCACGATCTTATGGCCCTTGTAATTGCGCTTTGGCTCGATCATGTCGTGTCCAAGCCGGTATTTATCAAATCAATGAATTTTACAGTCGAAATAGGACATATTCAGTTCCTAATTTCTTTCTTGGTTGTCAAACAATCGAAGCACTACTTCTCTCGACATTACAATGTTTCTATAATCTCTCGTGTATGTTGACAATTCATAATCAATCAGCTGGAGTCGCTTCACAACCTTTTACATTTTCTCCACTGAATGAGAAACTTAATCCACCAAATGAAACAATCGAATCCATTGTTAATCGACTAATGGTTGATCAATGGTTTTCAAATTATTCGTTTTCGTTGTATTATCACAAATGTGCTCCATCGTTCTGTACATTCGAATTCGAAGCTCATCAGAGTTTCGGATATGTCACTGGTACCATTCTGAGCATCTACGGAGGTCTATCACTCGGACTGAAGATTGTCATCTGGATTGGTCTTCGATGTCTTAAACAAATTATGCAGCACATCACGTCGAGATTAGTTATGTGGCATTCAATTCGACGTGCGTTTACTCTGAATGATAAGCGCAAAGTCATTCGTCGATTACATTTCATTCTGGTTATAATCATGCTTTGTATTTTCTACGGTATAACGAATTTTACAATTTATACAAAGACTGTAGGGATGAAGAACATTACGTTAACTAGTTATAAAGAGCTACTCGAACAATCCCACGATTTGCTACAGTGCTCGTGTTCGCGAATTTCGATAAAATATAAATCGTTTCTTACTATTCAACCGCGTTTTCACCAGATATGTTCGAGTGATTTCGTTTCCAATCAATGGATTTCGTATCTATACAACCTTAGCGTTCGGATAAACGAATTTGATCCAGCTGATTTTTATCATACAGCCAGCGGACAGTTCCAGCTACTTCAATCGTTATGCAAACTATCCGAAGAAACATTAAATCAATCGCTGATTCAACTAGGCGAAAGCGACTTCATTAATACTGAACTTCTATCTCCGGATTTATTAGAAAATCGAATTCAATCAACCATCAACGAATTCCAACTAACAATGCCGAATTTATTTATCAATACTCTCTCCTTAATTCGCGAGATGATCGGAACGAATATGATACTAACAGTATTTTCTACTAACTGGCTAATTGAAACACCATCTGTTCTATTCCACGGAAAATTTGCTCATACAATTCCAATAGATTACCAAGAATGCAATTGCGCAGTGTCATTTAAATGTGTGTCTCCATCTCGTGGCATGCTTGCTGGCTGCTATCCACTTGAAGCTATGCTCCAATCTACACTCGAATGTCTCTTCATTCCAATGTGTATTCCCGTCATGTATAATTTCAAAGTGTTGGACATTTCTTCAGTTAATTCAAGTCGTTTTGCTCTGAACGCGACCGTCGAATCGATTATTGATAAACTAATGGTTGAAGAACTCTCAAGCAAAATGTCCTATGACGTATACTTTAATCAATGCGCACCATTATCCTGTAGTTATTCATATGATGATAAAAATGACGTAGTCGAAGGAATTACAACTTTAATTGGTCTCTACGGTGGTTTATCAATTATGTGTCAGTTACTTTCGATATTCATTATCAAACAAGTTTTATGTCCAGTGCGACAAATTAACCCAACGACACGTTAAATTATCTCAATTAGTGCGCATTTGGAAATCATTCCAGTATTATTTCTGTGATTGTGTCTTAATTCGATATCATGCGAAAACATTGCTGTTGTATTTGAACTGCTTGATAAAAACGTAGTACCCGTAAATAGGTGTACGTAGAACGTTTGAGAATCTAAAAAAACATTGCTATATGTTTTGTTCTTATTCGGATATCACTCACCGAGAAATACGAAACGCTACAGAGATTTCCAAGGATAATATTGATGGAGACAAGAGTACGAGCGCGTTTGATACTATTTACTAAACAAAATACATGTATTTACAATAACAATATCGGTGATTGTTTGAACTAGAATACATTGACTTGAAGAGATTTGTTGGAACCATGCAATCAAAAAACGTAGAGAGACAAAGCCAGCATGCGATGTATTCTTGTGTTACATATCGAGCGGTGAAAGTCCGATGATAGATCTAACTACATAACTATTGTGTGCATTACAATGCGAGACGAGTATGTGAGTCCGTCCGTCTTCAATATAATTGATACAATTACCTTGTTCTTACATCCTAGAACAAAATAAGCCAGCACTCAAACAGAAAGAATCAAACTGTACTTCTTGTGCGTCAAGAGAAACGAGTATATAATATAATCGCCAACAGGAAATAATTATCTCAACCAAAGATCATTCTATGAGTTATTTTCTAAACAAAATAGTCTGACTATCTTGACAGTATATGTGCAGGTGTGAACGTAAGATTTTCCTTCGAAGGCATCTGTAACAAAAAGAATTTATCATTAAAAGTGCTACGTGCTCCTTACCTTATGAAATGAAGTTGAAGAATGGTGTTCGCAAGTACTGATTTTTTTTTAACTTCAGTATCGTTTGCGTAGTTCTGTTAGTGTGTTTGAAACTAGGAATGGTCGTCATGCCTTCACTCACATTTTCTCCTCATACCAATAAGTGACATGAGAAGCTATATATGATCACAACTTTTTCTCAAGCAGACAGTCTTCATTAAAGGCGATTGTCTGTTGATTTTTCACGACGATAAACAGTCACCGTCGAGCAAATATTTATAAAGCAATTTATTCTGTTACTCTTCTTCAGTACGCCTGCTCATAGTGAAGATGAAGATCATTTCAAGTTTATGCTTGTTATTTGTTGTGATGATATTCAATGAAGAAGATAGTTCTGATGAAAACGATTTGGAATTAAGAGAAAATCAAATCATGGATTTATTGAAAAATGCTTGAAACAGAGAAGCATGGTCAATACTGTGGATTTTTCAATACTCGATGCTGCTATCGAATTAAGAGTGTTCATCGGTGTAAATTGCTGGATCGCCAGACTGCGAACGGTGTTTCTTCGGATGGAGTTGTTAAAAAATGTTCATGAACTAACAAAACATTTATTCTATCGTATTTTATATGTCTATACAAGCTATTACAGCAGTCTTCAGCGTTTTCATAGGAACGAGAGAACAACAGTTAAGATATTCTTCCATTGTGTTGATTTCGCATTAGACGCAACATGAATCAAATATTTACTTTATTATTCTTTTTCAACGAAGGAAGTAAGCAGGACTTGTGTCATCGGCGAGTCATGCATTTTTCCGCAACAAGTGAATTCAGACAAACTATTTCCGTGTCAATAAACCATAAATACTATATACCATTCATCGAAATGCAGTTTATTGTCTTACCACACAGGCGTTTTTACGATTATATGTGCATATAGCGTTTCGAATTGATGCTAATCAGCGTCGCATGTCGAATATTTTCGTTTGTACGGACTAAAGGTGATGGTGGTTATCCTCAAGTCAAACAAGTTCTTAATTTGAAATCATTGGACTTGATTTCAACGGCCATTTAGAAAGCATTTCAACTACGCGTACCCAATGGAAATACATTTACGATACAATCGCAATCTCTTATATTTACCAAGGTACCTGGCATCGCTTTAGCGTTGTCGGATAATAATCCAATGTTGTACGAATTACAATTCGAAACCATATGTCGAGAACCTGATACTAAGTTCTATAAAAACCACGGTTCTTCATTCTATTGAGGATTGGAAAGTCAGAGATCGTGGCCGTAGAAGTAGATGCTTAGTTCTCATCATTTTTTATATTCTTCATTGAGAAATCGTTTATCTATCTGTTGGTACCTATATAGTTTATATAAGTGTACGATTTATTGCTATCAGCAGATCGAAGCTATAAACATGTGACAAATATCTCCGATGTAATAAAATATATGGTAAAAGGTTGTACAGCTACTCCAATAACTAAATATTATTTACTACTATCAAAACCATTTTCAGACACCTTATACAATCATATGTCGAAGAGTCTCTATGTATCAAACATTATCTGTGCATCTGAGATAATTACTTCATTTCAACCGTTCGCTGGAACTAATCGAAGCTCCAGAAGTTCTTTTTGAGCTGTTGCTGTTGCGCCTGTATCCGAAAATCCATTTGTGAGATTGCAATCAACGGATTCATAATCTTCCCACTTCACGCAAAGAGAACTGACTGATGAACTCCTCCGTAGGTAGATGAAACATATCTTAATCATATTCACCAAACCTTTTACTTCGATACAATAGTTCATCAACGAGCAAAACAGCTTCCTTACTTATCTATATAAATACGTGTGTTGTTTCATCAACAGTCACCCAGTGCAATCTCGAAAGATGAATTCAACAACACCAAGTATACAATCATGTTATCCTCTGCATCTTTCTCATCTATTTCATTCAAGTAAAGTGATTCTTGCTACATAAATCTATGTAAACATTCTGTAGTTCGTTTTCAGGGATTAACTAACCTTCCCTTAACGATCGTCTATCTCTGTCGTGGCCGAGTTGCCATCAGTTTCGACATCTTTTGTAAGATTTGGTTCATAACTGCTGGTTCTCTCAATGCAATCTTAATTCAAATGAATGTATTTCTCTCTTTCGAACGTTATTTACTCATAGATATCGAATCATCGCACACTATATACCATTGGTTTGTGTAATACTTGTTCTATTTGCTTATGTTCTCATTTTTACAAATTTCTATCCAGGTACAACAAATTTTGTCTATATGATGCTTGGTCATGTGGTAGTGCATGTTTTTTGATTCAACCCACCATCGATATGTTCACTTGACTGTATGCTATTCTCATATCTGTTCCCATCATGATTATTTTCAATGTTGCAATTGCCGTTCATGTTACTTATCAGAAGCAACGAATGATGCGAAAAAATCTCTGACATAGAAACAAGAAGATGCTCTTTCAACTATTTGCCATCACCGGAGCATTGTATATCTCGTGGGTGCCAATAAGTATTATTAATATAATTAACATAGTCAATTCTAATCCAGTTCTAAGTGAAATTCGAGCAACATAGTCTCTGATTGGTTTGATCTATATTGCTGTACGTGTCTCGCCAGTTATTTCCGTTTTTGCTATTCCGGAATTGAACAGCAAAATTCCTTGGTGCCAACGACATGCAATTCAAGATGTAAACAGATAGAAGCTTGTACAGGTACCTGTCAGCGAGATAGTGCCAACTATTCGATTCAATAGATAATCCGTGGCTGTTTGAAGAGGATCCACTGTTACCAGAGATCTTACTGTAACGTAAAACCAGTTCATTGAAACAAAAGCCGATGTTATACTAAAACAGATAGATTGAACAAACATCATTTAAATTCATTGCCAATCTGTTTTCTTTTGACGGCGTATTTGTGGTTCAGTTCTCTTCATTTGTTGCCGAGTATGATAAATGTAGCTGAAATCAACAGCAATACTAAGAATTCTACAAGTTCAAGAGGCAAATTGAACAGAACTCCATGCGCATAGCGTAAAAGACCATGAACTACATAAAAAAAACTAGAACAACAAACGGACGTATATTCAGATAAATCAAACAAAATATTCTATTAAATTATCTCAAGTGAACAGGGCTTACTGATCGATCGAAGCACTATAAGAGGCCATACTGAATCGTTTCGTTTCCGTTTAGCGTCTTCCATACGTTTCCCAAAACAGAAGATAAGAAAATAATTTGCAAGTGACAATGGAATAAGAACGTAGATCGATATTATATATCCTGTTTGCAAAAGTTGTAAAGGAGTGTTTCCAACTATGTACAACAAATATTCCACTCATCGTATAGTTATAAGAAAGTAGCATGCACGTGGACTAGGCCAAAGTGACGGTCGAGTAAATACATAAAGGTTGAATGTATGCTCAATGATACTAAGAGATATCAATAAAAATGAGCGCATTCTTGTGAATGTCACTTTACTGTATATGATGGAAGCAATTTTAGCGATACTAACGTCTCCCAATGGCATGCCAAAAAGTGAGTGTGCTAATTCGCATCCACACTCTAACCATGGTACAGTAGTTACTAAAAACAATGCATAATGTCGAGAGTGAATTAGCAAGAAACAGAATCATAACATAAAAATTCATCTCAATCACAATCGTTCGTATTTCAGCATCAAATTACGCAAGTTTCGGTAATCAATGCTCTTGGCAGTAACATCTGGCTAACACAAATTCTATGCTATAAATAAGAAGATAACATTATGCGTTGATAGGAAAAAAAATACGTTTCTTATAGATCGGTAACAACCGCCGTGAAATATTTCTAAAGTTCTTGATCGATTGCATCGGTTTATTTGCATAAGTGCGTCGGCAAATTTCAAATTTTTATCAGTTTTCGCGAACAACCTTATATTCCATATTTAATGCCGTCCTATGATCCACCCATTCAGCTTACTTACTGGAAATTATTGTCGTACATCGCAATTTAGGTATGTACATATCTGCGAAAATTTTCGATCTCTATTGTCAAACGAATATATCCGTTTAAATGCTTTTCTTTAATGAAATGATTCAATATACTACGTTATACGTTCGTTGGTAATATTTATCGATAATTGAAAACAAATCATTCATTTCTTTATAATTTAGAAGTTTAACACTTGCAGGTTCTGGTTAGATCGTATACATATAGCCAGTTCTCTAGTAAATATGAAATGACAATATTAGGTTACTGATGTATTGCGCTGGTTTGCTGTATAAATTCACCCTTGTAGAACATACGGAAAAGATAGTCTTTAGATTGCTTTCCTTTATTGAAAATTTTACCATGAAAACTTGCACCATTCGATAGAGCAAACCTGATCTACAAAACTATCTATTACTTACATGCCATTAATTGCTTTGTAAACTCAAAAAAACTCATCTTTCATAAAAATGAGTCCTGCTAAAGTATTTGTAACCCGATATTCAAAATCAGCGGTGAAAACTGATCGAGTATGTGTATTTTTGAAGGGGTTTATTTGAAGTTTTCTTATTTTCCCTTGGTGTGAGTGTGAGTATCAAGAAGACATCCTCATCCTAAATGGTTTTTGTATTATTTGTTGCAAATAAAGAAGAGAAACAATTTTTGAAACTCATATTAGTATTCTATGTACATTTTGAACTATTTCTTGTTATTAGTTTAACCCACACTTCTTCCGGTGCAATGACAGCCCGTTCACGTATATTAAATTTGTTCTGAAGTTGTTCACCAGGTAGAATGGAATATTCACGAAGTAACCGCACTAACAAAATCTTCATTTCGATTAATGCAAAGCGCATACCAATACATTGTCGTGGTCCTGCTCCAAATGGTAGATACGCCATTGGATGACGTTTTGTTTGATGACGTTCAGGACAAAACACATAAGGATCTTCAGGTCCCCAAAGCTCACGATCATAATGGACTGAATAGATGTCTGCATGTATGAAAGTATCTTGAAAAGAAGAAATGAAAATATTTCATCAGATTATACATCTTTGTAACTACCTTTTTCAATTGGAATTCCTTGTACAATCGTATTTTCGACAGCACGTCGTTGAACGACTGTATTAGCAATTGGATACATTCGTAAAACTTCGGAAACAAACATATCCATATAAGGCATCTGAGCAACGGTATCATAGTCAGGATATTTTTTAGCTTCTTCATTCGAATCATCATCTTCATTACTTAACGAAAGTTGATCAATTTCAGCCTGAAGTTTTTCTTGAACTTCAGGATGTAGCGCAAGTACATATGTTGCATAGGCCAACGAAGTTGACGTTGTTTCATATCCAGCTGCCATGAAAATAAGAATATTACTGATAACTTCATCTCGAGTTAATCGATAATTTGCTTTACTCGTATCTTGTGAATTATCCTACAAAAAAGGCTCATATTTGTCTAATCATTCAGATTACCAAATACAATCCTTACGTGAATCTCCTTTTCATCAGTCATAACTTGCATCATTAATTGTAGAACATCGACTCGAGAACTTGGTGTTTTCTGTCTCTGTTCAACAATTGGATCTAATCGATTGAAAAGCCACATACCTGGAAGTTCATGTAACTGTTTTTTGGTTATTAAAGGTAAAAGATGAAGATTAATGAATGCCCGTACAGCATTGAAACTAAAAAAAACTTTTCCAATAACAATTGCCAATTCAGGCACAAGTTGAGACAATTTTGCAGCAGGATTCAATCGAATACTACGAGAAAAGATTTCTTCCACTTTTTTAAAAAAGATATTATTTGGATTATTTTGTAAATCAGTATCGATTCCAAATGCACACCGACCTAAACAAGATGCATTATTGGTTATAGAACACAGAAATTCCTATAAATATACACTTACATATAACATCCATTGTCATTCTTTTGTAATAAATATAAATATTGAAATCATTTCTATCACGACCATGATCACTTAATTTTTCCATAACATTAGTGATACATCCGTTAATAAGTGGACTCATCATTTTTAATTTTGCAGCTGAGAATGTTGGATTGATAACATGACGATGTCGACGCCACGTGGCACCCGATGATGAAAGGACATTTCTAATTTTACTACCTGAAAAGACTTGTCTTCGTGCAGGAAAATTCAGAAATTGTTTGACGAAAACTTCTTGAAGAAAATCAGGATCGCTAACAACAAATGTTGGACTCGTTCCTTGATAAATTCCATAGATTTTACCATATTGTTTTGTCCATGTTTCGAGTTGACGATGAAAAGATGGAACTCGCCACAATTCTTTCATATGTCCAAAGAAAAAACGGAAAGGCGGTGTTGGAATAGCACGTCGACGAAAGTATTGATAGCGTTGATGTAGAAGAAATACATAATAAAGCGTAAAACTAATCAATATGAAAAGAAGAATGATGGACAAATGTAGCATCTTCTTGATTATCGTTTTCTTTTATTTCGCCACTTGTGATGAAATAAAAATATTCTTTCCTTTTATACACAAAATTCAGGGGTGATTTTTTTTGTCATTCTACGCATATATATATATATATATCTATATTGACATAAAGTACGTTTGAGAACGAAGAGCGATAAAGTTCATAAACGATGACCTTTCGCACTTTTAGAATTGATAACGAATGTACGATACATACGGCTTAGGGATGTACGTGAATAAGATTAAACATACTCTTCATTATTCAAAGAATAAGAAATTCAACATTAGTGAGTCTTTCACGAAATAGAAACTATAGCTGAATCGAATGGCTTTCCTGCAAGAGATAATGAAATACTTTTTCATGATTAGTCACACATTTGATATTTTTATTTCGTGTAAAAATTTAATTAGTTTTATTTAAAAATGAAAACCAAGGTGGAAAATAATCTTCTTGTCTACAATTGACATCAAGAGGAGAAGGATCAGGTTTCGAATCAATTATGATTTCACCTGATTTATTATTTAAAAGAAATCCAGCCCACCATCCAAATGTTCCAACTGTAAGAATAAGATGATCACACATAGTTAATATCGCTAAATCCTCAATTGCAGCAAACGATTTCGGTGTTATTAAAACATTGTTTGTGTGATTAAATAGTTTCTGACAATATAATTTATCATCTGATACGATCAGAAATGTCACTAAATGATATTTGAGTTGAAAATATGACATAGCATTAAATATATATTTATCTGATGAAACAGGCCGATGAATTAAGAGAAAATCACCGCGACGAATGTGAATACCTACAAGAGTTGAATTATGCCTATTGATACTTTTATTCAGAAATTTATTAACATGATCTAAAGTTAATTCTTTAAAACGTATTTGTTGTTTTATCTGTTTTTGATAATCAATAAAATATCTACAAACTTGCCAAAATCCCGATAATTCTAATGAATAATTATTATTTGGATTCAAGAGATGAGGATAAAATGTACAATGAGTATTGATTATTTCAGTCGAATTTGAATAAAAACTTAAACGAGATTCTGGTGCGAGATTACGTAAATTAATATCGAACGAAGCACTAAGTCTCGCTATAAAATGTGAACTAATGTATAATTGACATGATCGATTAAGTGATAAACCATAAGCAACAGCAAATTGAAATAAATTATTGCCAAGTCGACCATTAATTTCACGTAAAATGATGATACATTTCTTAGAATTCTTCAAATGAATAAAATTCCTCCATAATTGTGAAATATAACTTATTTTCGATTTCCTATATACTATAGAACAGCACACAATTGTAATCAGAAATATTATTATCAAATTACAATTGTTTTCAACGAACATTTTCAATATTGATTCATTTTTATTAGTACAAATAGAACCCGTCAATCTACCCAAACGCACGTGTACTCAGACGAAAACCTAGAATACTAATGAAGGAGAAGAACGAACGAAAAAAGGACACAACATGTGCGTTATACCATGACGGTGAAAAAAAAAATTTTGAATCGTTATACTCACACATAATAGAATCAATCATACGAGAAGAAAACGTACACATTTCATACACTGTACAGACGCGTTTCATTCACCTATACGACAACATATCGATAAATCGCTCTTTTCGTTCTCTCTCCTCCTCTTATCTGTTATTACCATGCACAGTGACTCATCCTCTTGATCTCTCGGAAGGAAATAGAGAAACACTTGCTGTCGGTCGAGAAATGATAACCTCGATCGACATGACGAACGGCACGCAGGAAGAAGTACCTGCTAAGAAAGTCGGTACTTCTTTCCTTTAGGCAGTACACAGAACGGAAAACAAGATGATGTGAATAAGAGAGCAACCAACCAAACTGAGATTGTATGATATACATGTCAGTAAGATGCTGTCCGATAAACAAAATTGATAGCTCATTCGTTTCATAATTATTTAAGCTTTTCATATAAACTTCAAGATAAAATGAAATAAAGTAGCGCTCATCCGTCGGATTCGCCGACCCTTTTCTGAAAGAATTATTCTATAGTACTGAACACATTCAAACGCTTTGAAAAGCAAGTAAGGCACTGCAATTACTACTAGTTCTCAGTTGAATCATGACACTGTTTTATTCAATATCATTTGGATCTCATTCATCTTTATTTCCTGTCACTGATTTTGATGTCATAAATAATGGTGCTGACAGTTTAAGTATGTACTTGCAACTGTTCATTAAATCAACGAAAATATTTTAAATTAACATTATCGTGCAGTTGATGATTGTTAAAAATGAAGAACAGATCGTACACAGATATAAAAAGATAGTCGTAGTTTGTCAGTACTGACACATACGAGATATTGAATGTGAGTAGTTGTAAAATGCCTCATGTTCTTGTTATTAACATTACTTCTATATTATTACAAAGAATTCTTGCATTCCATGAAGCCATAGATAAAAAGAAAAGAAGCCAACGACATCAACGCATGAATTCATCTGTTTTTTGAAGATTATTTTGATATAGCAGGGCTTTGCATGAAGATGTATCTTTCTTTTAGAATAAATCCATTATAAGTTCATGTCATCTGATGAAATACTTCGTTTGAATTTCATAGCTCAAACTATAGTAATATATGCTGGTTCATCGATGTTTATATGTGGTATTCTTGGTAATATTGTAAATATTTTTCTATTTACTTTTCATCGTCAATTTAAAAGTTTATCCGTATCAAGATTTCTTTTGTTTTCATTTTTTGGAAGTCAATTAAATCTTCTCAGTGCATTTTTACCTCAATTAATTTCTCGAATAACCGGAAATGATCCATTGGTGAAATTTGAAATGCTTTGTAAGTTACGATGGTTTTTTGGACCGGTAACAGGAACAGTAGCATTACATGGAATTTGTTTAGCAAGTGTCAATCATTATTTATTATCATTACAAAATATCCGTTATCATCGATGGATAACACAGCGTCGTTCTTATTTCATTTGTTTGTTTGTTTTATTTTATTCAGTTTTGTTCATAAGTCCAAATTTAATTTATTTTACACATTGGATTAATACATCTAATGTAACTACATGTGATATAATTAATCCAATTGCTGCTAGTTATAATGTTTATATTGGCCTTATCATATATAGTTTGATTCCCATATTAGTTTNTAACACAGCGTCGTTCTTATTTCATTTGTTTGTTTGTTTTATTTTATTCAGTTTTGTTCATAAGTCCAAATTTAATTTATTTTACACATTGGATTAATACATCTAATGTAACTACATGTGATATAATTAATCCAATTGCTGCTAGTTATAATGTTTATATTGGCCTTATCATATATAGTTTGATTCCCATATTAGTTTTATCAATATTATCTTCTTTAATATGGTTTAATATACGAAAGATTATCATTAGACGGAACGGTATAGAACAAACCATAACTCGTTTATTAGTCGGTCAAGTTGTAATGGTTTTATTCACAACAATCGCTTTTGCAATAAGTCGAATATATTTTCTTTATACAAAAAATTTTTGGAAAGATTCTCTTCGTTTAGCACAAGAAAACGTAGCTTCAAGTGTTATGCTATTATTTAGTATAAGCACGCATTGTATGTCTTTTTATGTTTATTTTTTGGTTTCGAAAATGTTTCGTCAAAATTTATATCATATTTTTTATAAACAGAAACGTCAAATTCAACCAATGGTTGCACTACAACATACTGTTCATCGAATATAAACGTTGGTGTTTATAAATTGTATAGTTTAAACTTTTCAATATAATTTCAGAAAGAATATCAACAACCAGTGCTCTTTTGATCCGACTGAACATTCAAAAATAAACAATTTATATAGTCACATTGTTCATAAAGGAAAAGTACTGGGCAGGTATCGACATCACTTTTCTTCTTTCAGTTTCTTCACTTGACCGTTGTTTCTACACATTAGCTACATGATAATAATAATACGAATGACAGGATCTCATAGGCTTAACACCCGGTGGAGATGGCCGCAGTTATTGTTAGTATTTTCCACATTTAGCCGGGTTCTATCGTCTTTTTATTTTACATGTACAAACGGCGGCATCTGCATCCTCTTCCATTAAAAGTTTCATAACTAGTATATTTAAATAAGCGACTAAGGATGCTTTTATCAAATTAGTTTCACAAATGCGTAAAATGAAACCACATTCCATCCCATTAACTTTTTTTCATGTGCACATCATTAGTATTTTGTATCTCAAACTTATTCCAAAGATTACGTAAATATTGCAGATATAGTAGATGTTTTTCTTATTATACAAGCAATCATTTTCGTTCTTATCAGCCCATTATCATTGATTTGTCTTTTAACAATCATTTTCATATTGCAAATAATATTTTGACGGCAAATTTATGTTTAAGCTGTCTCATGTGCACCATATACTGAGTTCTAGAGAAAATATTCAGTGTATTTAATATATACACACTTTATGGTGCTCCTATATCATGTATGCATACAACGTCTACTAGAAAATTTGTAAATTGATTAGTAGTTCATTCTTTAGTAGTGACTACCATTAGTCGTTGTTTTCCCATGAATCGTTTTTTAAAGATAAAACTTGAATGGATTTATTAATAATTGCACAATGAATGCTTACCTTACTTAGTTCAATACCAATTTTACTTCATAATTCAAGAATAAAATCAGTAGAAAAAAAGTGACTATTTTCCTCTATTATTTGTAGGCATGCGTCAATAGTATTGAATTCTCTAACCGGATTTAGTCCTGTACTTCATCCACCTTAGTTATATTATCTGTGATTTTGAACATCATTTTTAACGCGATTGTTGTACTTTTTGTTCGATCAGACAGTCGTCATATTTAAAACGGATAGACATCAACAACAGCAGCGTCGAGATAGGAAGTTACTGAAACATATAGTTTACTTATTTATTGCATTTATTTTTAGATGGAGACCAGTTTATACTGTTTTAGCTCTAGGATATATTGTACCTGTAATAGCAATATGGGTTGATCATGCACTACAGATTCCACCTAGATTTACTGTTACTATTCAAGTAGTGGATTTATTCATTTGTAGTCATGCAGTTCGTTAGTATTGGAAAGAACGAATAAATCGCTGTGCACATCAAAATCACCATTAAATAGAAGAAAATTTGAAGAACTATCGAACAGTTTTATGTTAGTACTTTGATTTTTTTATTTCATTTTAAATTGATGTCGGTAGATATTAGTGATAGGATCGGTTTGACTCGACCAAAATGGAATTGAATTCTATTAGTGCTACTGCATGCGTATGCATTTTGTATATTAGATAAAGTTCTGGAAATATGAGAAATATTCTTTATGTAATTTCGTTATAATATTCCGTATACATACTACAAGAATCAATTTTAAAAAGTAAGTGTCATATAGAAGAGAGGTATAATGAGAAAAGTAACTCTTATTATATGATGGTTGAAATCCAATTTTAAAGGCCACCATAAATATAATTGACAACACCAGTAGTCGATGTTTCCTAGACTGTAAATACGTGCCACCATGCATTATGTGATGCGATGCAATAGACCGTTCTTAATTGAAATCATCTATCGAATTATTTATTTGATCTCTACCAGTTGATGATAAGCACTAAATGCATAGTTACCAACGTTCTGTGATGAAAATCGATAAGTACCGTATCCAAACCATGTTACATTCGATTTTGATTTGTACTATTACGCTCTTCAATGTCAAGTTGTACGGTACATTTGGCACAGCTAGTAAGACGTTTGTTTGGTTGGAATTGACAATCTAATGTTAAACTATCTCCTTTAGTATAATTTGTTGTTAAAGGAATCCAATTAAAACGATCTGTCGAACTTCAAGTAAGCATTGCAGGGGTTTTTGGAAAAGGTAAAGAACATATTTAATAGAGAATGATAGAGATCAGCGAGCTTTTATATAGCATTATGATCAATTGGATATCCTTCATTCGTTTCAATAGTAACAGCAAGTTCGGATACTGGTAAAGTTATATGTTGATCAATGAATGGTTGAGCTATTTGATAATGCTTAGTATAAGGAGTAACAATTTCTGTTGTATTTATATGCCATTACACTCTAAGACCAAAAAAATGATATTTTGTCAGATTTAAACCATTTAATAAATGTAACTGTTCTCTCGGCTATCAATTTTATATTGATTGCAAAAATAGTTTTGTTGAAGGATCTGCATCATGAGCAAATTCAAAAGCGTATTTACTAAAATCAACACCTATTTTTCCAAACCAAAATGAAGTACGTAAATTGAATGGTCGAGTTTCGTCATAATCAGAAATAGTTTCATTTATGACATCCAACTATTGACTTTTTCCACGATATTGACCAACTACTGTATAAGAATAATCTTTTACTAGAGATCCGGCTTTTTCGGGTAATATAGACAGTTCTTGATCAAGTAACGAACGAGGGATTCTCGATTTATAAGCTCAAATCAAAGTATGATCATGAATTTGATAATAAGTTTGTTGGATCCAACAACCAATCAGGATCAGTAAGATTATATTGATTTTCTCCTTTCGAAATTTGCATTGACATCAGTTCGAACCCTAGTACAATCATCTTAAAATTTCGTTCGAGATAAGATCTATATCGAACGTCATCAACATTATTTCGCAAATGGCGTATACCAACTGCTGCTCCTACCATAAGACCGCGATCAGATGCAGGTGGCTCTAAACCAATGGGGCTTTGTGCATAAATAATCACACTATTGATTACATAGCAAATCAAACATAATATTGTTCTACGACGTCCCATAAGAATTGAATGGATACAACAGCACAATTGTGTTTGTTCTATTCTATTGATTATGTATTTGGTACGGCGGCAGAAGTTCGAAAGAAACTAGTATCAATTTCGAAAAAACAAGCAAACTGAACGAAAACGGAAAACGTAGAGGTTTAAAATGCATCAGATAATGCATACAGATCAGTGCAAAAGTAGTGGCGGAGCTATCCTAATCTATTACAGAAGACTTCAAGAAACTTTTCTTCTACACAGGGTAAAATGAAGTTATTTTTTTCGATATTTCGCTCTTTTTATATTTGATTTTGCTTTTAATATTTTGATAACAACAATGAATGAGAACAAGATGCACAACGAAAAATACTTTTCATATCTTCTTTTCTTCCATTCAGAATAATATAAGGATATGCATTAACACACAACAAATAGCAGTCGTATAGCAGAGAATATGAAGCAAGTCTACTTCATTGTCGTCAAATTACCTTAATTGCAACTTGACGAGTAAATCTTGTAGTTAAAGGTTTATTCTATGTGGTGTTACTTGGTTGCATTTTCTATAGGAAAAAGCGGCTCTCACATTTTGTCTATATGCACTTGACATTATAATATATATATAAAATGTTCCAATATTTAATAAAAAACTGGGAACAGCAGATACAGTTTTCCACAGATTTTCTTGCGCTATTTGTAAATCCGATTTCATCCATGATTGAGTAATTTGTGCATATAAATTATATACAAAATTGGGAAGCGAACTAATAAATATCACAGTATATTCAACTAACATCATTCGAGTCACTTCTTGACGGAGTTGATTGTGTTGTTCGCGGCGTATTGACCAAAGATTACACCATGTAAGCATACAAAAAACGCCAAGAGTAACTTGTGGAATACTATTGGTCATAGTTAAATTAAAATAAACGATAAATTGTTGATATATAACTCGATCGCTACTTGATGCAATACATCGATATCCCGAATAATAAATTGCATCTGGCATAAAAATGATGATATAAGCAATACTAATCATAATTGTAATTATAACAGCTCGTTTGAATGTAATCAATCGTCGATATCGTGCATTGCGTGATGTATTCAGAAATCGATCAATACTTGATAAACAGATACATGTGAATGACATGTTAAAACTCCAACGACCAAATAACCATCGAACTTTACAATAAAATATTGAACCAACTAATAGATCGACACCAGTGATAGCTAGCATTGAACGTTGAAAACGAGATGCCCATAAAGAAGTGAGATTACTAACGAAAAACATAATCATAAAAACACAATTTGACATTTGTCGAAGTGTTTTATTTCGAAGAAAAGCAACGATATTCAATAGATTTCCGATTGTTCCAATGATGATGAGAACGAGTATAACATATCCATCAAAGATTTTGGCAACAGATTGAAGACGAATAATTTCATTATTAGTTAATACACTTGACATGAGTGNGATGAGAAAAAGTATAACATATCCATCAAAGATTTTAGCAACAGATTGGAGACGAAGAATTTCATTATTAGTTAATACACTTGACATGAGTGAATTTGAAGATGAAAAATATGGAAATGGATTATTAACAGAAAAATTTTAACTTTTATACTCTCTGTTTAAAAACGAATGCTGTAAATAACATTTTCTATGTGTATTTAATGTAACTTTTTTATTTATGCACAAAGTTCTCTCCTACGTAAATGAGGAGAAAATACCTTTATTAAGGAAAATATCTGTTGATGTTATTAGAGGCTAAAGAATATTATTAAAGGATTATCATGTAGATTCGAAGACCTTAAGAAAATTAACCTTTGGCAGCATATACGCTAAAAATGAACTTTTAGATCTATGTCACATTATGTTCCAGAGAAAATTATTGATTGATATATAACAGGTGAAAAAAATATAATTTTGAGCCTGTAAGTAGCACTTACAATAGTTAATATTGTAGTATGTTCTCAAAATGGCAGCAATAAAACAAAACTGACTTAGTACATTTTTATTCTTGAAAATCCTCTTTATGTCAACTATAGCATAATTCTCCTTCGCATCTATCATATACTTATATTCGTACTCGTTTGAGTAATGGAATTTATGATAGATTTGGGATTTTACAATCTGAGCTGATGGAATTCTAAATGTATGTTAAAATATTAAAAAATGATGTATATTTGACTCTTCATTTAATAGTAAACATATGACCTATTTTCTCTTATAGTTATTTTGTTCTCTTTCTCGTAGAGAAGAATCTTATAAGCATAAATTGTTTGTTTGATTGCTTGTGTGGCCACAGAGTCAAAAAAACACATTTCTAGGAATATTTCGTTGCCGAAACTCCGAATCTAATGTTATTTTTCTAAAAGTTGACCATAGGGTTTTCGAGGTATGAGGATACGAATCTAATATTAGCTTTTCAAAGTGTCTTACAGAATAAAGTTATATACGCGATAAGGCATTAGCAATGTAAGATCGGAAAGCACTCCTTCTACGAGAAAGGGCTGAGCGAGTCTGTTGACGAGCGTTACTTGTTAGATAAAAGAATGATATGACGACATAAGTCCCAACGATTATTGTAACTTTCTAATGAAAAAGAAATCAGAGAAAAGATTGTATTTATCAACTACTCCTATCTGATATGAAGAACTCGTATATAAGCACCTTATAAAAAATATATACAGACGCGTTTGTGCATTAAAAAACCCTCGATTAAAAAGATTAATATATAATCAATTTATTATTGAATTTTCTTTATTTCATTTAACAGAAAATGCTTTCCAATACGAAGTTTATTTCTTTGTTTTTTAGTGAGATAGATATACGTTGATATATCCAGGTTGACCGATCCCATACTCGGGTCGGATTGGATCCAATATTGGATCTATCGGATCGGTTGTGGGATTGATGCATCTGGGTAAGGGGCAACGACATGAAAGAAAAGAAATAATTCTGTATAGCTTTAACTAACATTTAACCAAATCGAAAAAGTAAATGAGTGAATTTATTTCAACACGTTCAGCCAAGAACGGTATCTGCTCCAGTCATTCCTGACGAAATTCTGATAACAAAATAAAAGACATATACAGACCATTCAACTTCATTCCGTTACGTCGCGATCGTCTCCGTCTACTTTCCACCAGCAACTACTTCTGTACTTCAATCTAACTTACTTCACCGAAAAGCTAATCACACAATCATAAAAAGCCATGAATCACAGTCAACAATTTATTCCATGCAACAGAACATGAGATTCTGAATCAGAATAGCGAAATTTCAGTTCCACAATCTTTTTCTGACAACAAGAAATTCGCTTATTCATGTTCACTGATGCGGTTTGCATATGACTGTATTGACAGAATGGAAGAAAATACGCTTTTGATTCGAATATTCTCTCCATCAGAGGGTGAGGGTTTGTAACAAAGATTGCTGTTGGAAAAGTGGAACATTAACAAAAAATGGATGTGGTGAATGTTGGGGAAGTGATTAGAAACGTGTTAATATTACGATCGAAATGTACCATTCACGCCCTATATTGAGAAGAACAAATAAAATATATGAAATGTTCCCATGCTTAATAATCTCATTATTTTAACGAAAATAATTCTTATCCATCATAGCTACTATTTTCTGGAATTGAGATAGGCAGAGTGGAAGTATAATGAAGAAAAAACCATGCTAAAATAATTGTCAAATATCTAAGAATAGCCTTTTGAACATGTAATTTTCCCATCACAGTTAATTACTGGGTTATTTCTATCGGATCATACATACAACATGGATTTCGAGTGAAATCACTAGTGCTAAAATGTAAAATGAAATGGCTTTTTATGCTTTCAACCCTTCTGATAAGATGTGTTGGTGTTACAAAAAAAGACTATTTTGAAACCTACGTACAATAGATAATTATATCACCAGAATGATCTTACAGTGATCTTGAACCATATTAGAGGCTCATCCAGCAGTTTTAATCATGATACGTACATACTGATGATACATGATATCTTTTTGTGCGGCTTATTCTTTCGAAATTTGAAGAAATCCTCCTTCTCGGCTTTTAAGGATTAATCATTCTTTCCCGCTTTAACTTCTAACTCATTCATTATTCCAGAGTAATAAGCGAAACAAAAAAAAGCTTTTTCGCAATTACGCATTAATAATAATAAAAAAACATTTGCATTTCGAATCATTTTCTGCATTGCTAATCAAACGCTCTAATTGACGTTGTCAAAAAGAACTGAATAGCATAACATGTTTACACTGTATTAAATAAATTTCTCAATCTTGTCCATATATAGTTCCTCACATCTCGATTACTAATAAACAAATTTATAATTATACCAACTACACATAATTCACCAAAGATTGACATAGCTGGTCGAATCCATTCGTTAAAATTAATGAAATAACTGATAAGCACACTTATATAAATACCACTCCATCCACCAATGAATGTAATAAACATGAAGGTCATTTGTCGTAACAAAGAAATTTCGCGCCGACTTAAATTCAGTATTTGATTGTTACTTGTTGATTCGGGTAAAACACGAAGCGAAGAAGATCGAGCATGATGAAAGATGAGAATATTCAAAGTAATATTCAGAATTGATGGAGCAATTACAGCTGTTATTAATGTATAAATTCGTAACCATAAAACATCAACACAAACCTATCAATAAAAAATGTTAGTTTCCACAATAAAATCGTTTTCTTCCAACTTACATCTGTTTTTTGAAAAACAAATGGTAATGAAATAATCAAAACTCCAATCCAATGTGTTGCAATGCATGTAGCAATCCATTTTTTTGTTTTAAATAAAGGTTGATTATAACATTTAATAGAACAAAGTCGATGAACAGAGTATGTGACAAAAGAAAATGGAATAATAATACTAGCCACATTATGTGCGTAGAATAACATAACACATCCATTGGGAGTAAAAATATCACGAGCAGTAAGATAGTATGATACGTAGAAGACTATATAATAAATTGAAGTGTATAGAGCGCTAACACACAGATTGACAATGAAGATATTATTTATTGAATGAAATCGAGGAATCAGTAAAATTAATAATGAATATATTAACGATAGAAGTGCGATTAGACAAAATACACCAATGATAAGAGCAGCTTTGATAGATGTTTGAATATTCACGGCCATTTACAAAACAGATTTGAACAAAATCTTGAATGATTACACTCTAAAATGCGCTAATAGTTCAGTAAAAAAAGCAGCTTTTTCTCGAAAGAAATATTTTATCTTTATGGAACCATTTACAGCGACTTATTTTCTAAAGCCTGGGAAAAGTTCGATATGGGAATAGATTTTTCTCGCCCATCAACAGCTTATTCAGAAAATAAAAGGAAAACTAAATTAAATCAAATGAAAACTTTGGAGTATTAATGCATTTATAACGCATGACTTACACGCGGCAAAAATGAAACATTGACACAATCAACATATCTTTCACGTTTAAAAAAAAACTCACACTCTTGAGTATAGTCGTGGGATAGCTTTTCGCATCCGCTCACGAAATACTTTACCTGCGCCAGATAATTGCGCTTGAGATCGCTAAGGCAATGGCCATTCGACGTACGGTTGAATGGGAGACATTGGGTGTACGATCAATGGTAGATTGGTGACGCGCAATCTTGAAAGAATGAGCAGAGATGATTTTGTGTTTGCCTTGACTTTTAATTGAGATATACACCAGCTGAGTATTACCAAATGAAAACGCTAAAAGAAAAAGACGATTTAGAGATAGACGTCTTCGATGTCTCTTCATTCAACCTTGTTGAATAGAGCGATGTGTATTTCTTGCACAAATAATCCGTTGGACACTTTTGGATAGACATTACTGTACATGATTCAATTAAAGTATATGCATCTTCTATATACACATATCAAATGACGTATACGTGGTTAGCAAGTCTAATGGGATACTCAAAAATTATTTTCATACCCATAGACATATTAAAAGATCCGCGTCTTCTATTCTCGAGGATGAGGGCTAGAATAGGTGCGATGAATCAGAAAACCACTGCGATCGTGATTTTGGTCTTGTTAAAGGAGTAATTGCAAGATACTTTGTGTGAATGCACATGTAAGGAAAATTATATTATCGAATAATGAGACAAAACAATGTCTAGAGATATTAGAAGTGTAAAATTTGAAGAGAGCTAATTAAAGCCATCTCCTATGATTGACTTTTTCACCTCGTTTTTTGAGATGTGCTTACTTAGAAAAATGCGCTGACTTGCGCACATGTTCATACTACTCTGAATAACCCCGATACAAAATAAAGACAAGTGAAAATAACTTGAACAACAACAACTTTCAATTTCTTTCTAGATGTGAGCTGTTCCTATCGTTTAGTATTAATAAAAGACAATTCTATAACTGAATGTGTTTCCAATATGCGATTTCTGTGCAAACGTGCACTCGATTAAAATGAAAGTGTAATGAAATACGTCTGGTAGAACACAAGTTACACCACTATGACCAACAATACAGTTGTCTATTTTTAAGAAAGAACGTCGTAATCTTTTCCAGTAGAATTAAACAAAAAAAATGATCATGGACCATCTGTTATTGTCTCAAAAGGTTTATCTAAAATCACTTCTTTCAAAGTACTCGAAAATACGATTTATGGATTAATGAGCATGTAGTTGGCAGCTGACGGTATTGTGTGAATCAAAAAGACATTTCTCCGTTTTCGTCTTTTCTCATAATTTATCGGTGGGTTGCCAGCGGAATATATTGTTCAGATGTAGTTTGGAATATTTATTGTTTGTTCTAGAAGTAAGCAGAAAATGATTTCACTACTGATCTGACATTCATAGATGGCTGTATTCACATTTACTTTTATGTATTAGAAGGTATGGCCTAATAGGTAATATTCGATCTTTTCTTTCCACGTGAGACCGTAATGAAAAAAAAGGGTAGTATTCTTTTTCTCCTTCGTTTTTTAATAAATGTATTGTTTCTAAAGAGTAATCTCTCATGTTAAGATAAACATAGGTTGACGTGACGCACAAATATTTTTTGCGAACGATTTATTCAATATTATGACTGAAAAATTTATCCAAACTGCCAAAGAGGAAATATCACTATTGGATGACATCACTCTAAATGAAAATGATTTAACTGAAGAAGCCAAAGCATTATTTACTTATCATACAGATATTTTGAATGCATTCGAAGGATATCGACTTCGAATACTTCAAGACAAAAATTTATCATCTAGAAGTCGACATAGACTTTTTTCCATGCTAAATATCAATCACATAAATAGTAAGCAAGTTCTTAATTATATGGCTGAAAATAAAGAACTCATCTCTCGCAATTTACCGCTCATTGGTCCAGTAGTAATTTGTGGTTTACCAAGATCAGGCTCAACACTTCTTTACAATTTACTTGCATGTGATCCACATTGTCATGCTCCACTGTACACTGATATGCGCATAGAGCCAACGCCACCTGTTTCACTAACAAATCATACCGAACACGAGCGGCGAAAAGCTCTGCTAAGACCGTTTCTTACACTATATACCGATAAAGTGAATGGTACAAAAGATAACTTCGTATCATCTCATCCAATGTTCAATGTCGAGGAGGATTATGCTATCTTGTACCATGCAGGCTTTATGGTTGTCCAGATGGCGATGCTCGTAAATAATCAGTCCAAATTTAGCGATTTCTTATCTAGTGAAATGAAAAAGGATTTTATTTATAATTATCATGAATTATTCTTAAGAATGTTAAATTCCGTTAATGAACCTTCGTCTCATTGGCTATTAAAAGCTCCTGTACACTCTTTTTATCTTGATACACTTCTTCAACATTATCCAAATGCAGCGCTGATCATGACCCATAGATATATGAAGGAAGTTCTACCGTCGTTTTGTCGTATGATGGTGAATTTTGAAAAAGTGTTCTCAATCGAACCAAACTCTACCGACGCTCGAGACGCACTTATCGCACAGTATACTCAACTGATTGACAAAATGGTTGAATGCCTTCTTGAATTTCGCAGTACACATCCAGAGAGAAATGTTTTCGATGTGAAATATAATGATTTAATGAAACAACCAATTGACACTGTTCATCGAATTTATGATCATTTTGGTTTGAAATGGTCAAATGAATTTGAAATCGCTATGCAATCTTGGCTTCAAGATAATCCTCAAGGTAAACAAGGCCGTCATAGTTACAGCCTAGATGACTTTGGTTTTAAACAAGAAGACATTGACGTACGTTATGCTAATTATGATGATTTATTTCTTCGTTCATCGTCCTCAGGCACAACTCAATAAAATTTATTTTCTGTTAAAAAAATACAAATCAAATGGACAGATTTAACTTACATATTCGATGAAACATCTCATGGTAGTTTCATTATTCTAATCGATATTTAGTAAGATGGTGAAGGTATGAATCTTTTTTAATTGAATAACTACTAATATTCTACCAAAATAAATTTCAATTTGTTAAAAATTCATAGTAAAGCAAACATGTCGTAACAGTCCACAGAAAAATTTTTCGATAAAAACCGCAGTAAAATCACGATGCAGGACAACGTTCATTTTAGTGGTTAAATCGAACCGCGATAGTCAAACCTTTTATTAGGCTTTTCCATACCGCCTGAAACAACGGTTATTAACGCTCTGAAAATATATAACACCAAGATGGCACATCATTTTTGACATTCATTCCATGTTCTCAACCAATTTACCATGGTCAATTCATTAAACGCCACTATCTAATTTTTATTTAAATTCTTCCACGTAGATTCGAATCTCTTATCTTGTGATTACCATCCATCTATTCCTCTGAACTATTTGGTGATGCTAATGCTAAAGTTAAATATGATGCTCTATTCGATCGATGATGAAAAATCTTTTCATTTAGTGTAATATGTTTCATTTATTAGTAGTTTCATAAAAATCTTTGAATTATTATTACTATTTTTATCTATTCCATTGTTTCATCAAGCTTTCTCAGTAGATGTTTGTAATAATGATGAATTATATGTAAATATAAAGCTACCTTTATTCATATTAACACTGATGATTATTGTCGTTCAACTGAATGATCTATTATAGGAAAAAGTAAATTATATATAAGATATATTTATTAAAATATTTAGTTGCTAAACCACAACAATGAGTAGTTATAAAAAGTCTAACTATATTTCTATTAGGATTTAGAATATATATGTAAATCAATACTTTGAAATACATGTACCTACGATTTAAAAGATATTTAAATGTTATCAATCGAAAAAATTCGATCCGTATTAATATTATAAATATTTCTATTAGTAAGAACCATCTAATAAAATAATACATATTCTACATGATCTTATCTTTTTAACATAGAGCCTTAGATTAAACTACTGTTTATTTATATTTCATGTTGATATAACTTTAAGAGCACTTTCCTCATAATTCAAGTGATGGAATTATTTTCAGTTCAAATTAATTTCACGTTAGCACATAAAGTAAACAGTAATAATAGTACAGACATGGATTTTAGTGTAATTTAATATAAAAAATATTTCTCTTTTCTATTTTAAATGACTTTTTATAATTTTTTTCAATTCATATGAAAAGAAGAACAAAATTTAACTCTAATCAAGCTTTTACTTGAAAAAACTTCAAAGTATAATAAACTCTTATCTTTTTTAGTGTTCTCATGTGAAATTTTGACTTAATGTATCACGAAAAATAAAGTAATATATCATCATCATAAAACTAAAATACAAATTGTGAAAGGTAATACCAGGCTTATGGGTACGAACAACAGAAGCTTTCGAGAAAATCTAGAAATCGCAATTTTCAGTGGTATATCATGCTGCGGTTCATTTTAAGATAACTACGATAAATCGAGACTGCGGTGCGTCATACCGCGATCGTCATGAACTGACTCCATCTATTAGCGGTGTTTACTTTAAAATTTTTCCGTGGAAGGTACGTGAAGCGTTTCCAAGAACAATTTCATAAGCTTGATAATGGGCAAGATAATCGAAAATTTCATTGGAAAAATTTTCATTCATTACTCAAAAGTCAATTCCATCGAGTTTCTTTGTCATCTTGTCAAAACGACAAAAAATATAGAATAGTATACTTTTCATTTTTACGCACTTTTCTTTTCTCTACAGTGCATTTGCTGCATAAGCGTAGCACACAAATACCTAGAAATTGATTAACAAATGCGATTATCGGTTTAGCATTTCTCAACAAAGTTCAAGCGATAGCTATTGTTGGTGATTTTAACATTAAATTTGGCAGCGTGCGTTATTCTATAGGCGTCCTACAACGTAGAAGAATCGTTGCATCGACAATGTCTTAGTAAATAGATGCTTAGCACCGTACGTAACAAGTCATAACAAAGTTATTCATAACGAATGTATATTATTTATACGTTATTCCATTCCTATGTGCCACTCTTGATCACATGTCACACATTTATATTGATATGGGATTAGGCTCTTTTTCTAAACTTTGAATCCAAATATGGAGATATTTTGGTTTCAATAATTAAACATATACACGTAAACAGGAATGTCAATGTGTTACTAACTTTTACGTTTGCTTCAGCTTTCTGAATCTTAATAGTATGAGTCAGGGGCAAGTTATCAGCTTTTTAACCAAGTCAAATCAAGTCGAGTCATAATCAATATTTGAAAGTTCTAAGTCTCTTGAATTGCCTAGATTTCGCTTAACTCAAGTCGAAAATGAACACAAGTCGACGAATCTCATACTCGGATAGGATACCGGATTTTTCTAGGAGCATAATGAAATGTAGCTAAAACAAGAATGCCAATACAATTCGCAACAAATGACCAGATTTTTCAAGTTGGAATTGAATGCAAGTCCGTCATCAGGAATCCGATCGGATTTGCTGACTTGAGCACCTAACTTGGCTAAATTCAAGTCAAAACAGACTTGATTTCTTATCTTAAAAATTGCTTGACTTTATAAGTTTATCTATCGTTCATAATTGAGAATGTTTTAAGCCGAAAAGTGATACTGAGGTGCATGAAAAACATGTATATATTTTAATAGTTCTCAACTTGACTTCTGACTCGGTCCGATATAAAAAAGAACAAGTCAGATCGAGTGACTTGTGACTTGGCATGATTCAAATCCAAAACTGACTTGACTTGCTCATGTCTGAAATATATGCAAATGATATTTTACCTGCCCAACGTGAACGTTTTGTTTCCTTATCATCTGTATTTTTTCTTTTTATTATATCTACGTAGTTTATCTCACATCGAACGTTACGAACTAAGTTGTGTCCTTTCATTTTGTATTCTATACGAATGGATAGAAAGAACACGAACGACGATATTGCATCTCAGCTAGTTTTTCGTGCAGATATCAATTTTTCGGACGACGACCTTAGTGAAGAAGCTAAAGCACAATTTACCTATCACAATGAGGTTCTGAGCGTATTCCAGCTCAATGCTCGTATAGTTCTCAGCAACGACCGACTATCGCCAACTGGTCGCCATCTTTTTTGTACAAAACTGGAAAAAGAATACAAAAATTATAAAAGTGTACTTAACTATGTCGCTATGCATCCGGAAAATAAAATCAAAACACAAGCAATCCACTCTCCTCTCATATTATGCGGTTTGCCTCGTACTGGAACGACACTTTTATTCAATCTACTCGCTTGTGATCCTGCATGTCGAGCACCATTATTAATGGACATATTACATCCAATCCCGCCAATTGCTCGTTCGGATAATGACAATCAAGCACAACGCAACCTATTTTCAAGTGAGACAAGTGCAATGATGGATGCACTTGGATTAGCGAATTACGTACGAGAGTTGCATGCGTCTCATCTAGGGGTGCAACGGTAACAATAACCGGATTTAGTGATAAAACGGTTTAGCGAAAACCGGACCAAGTGAAAGTGCGATTAAACGAAAACCGGGTCTGATGAAAATAAGGTTAAACGATAACCGGGTCTGGTGAAAATGAGGTGT